TCTCTCTCTCTCTTATGAATATAAATAATAGAAATTATAAACAATGTTACTAAAAAAGTTCTCAAATATGATTTTACACTAATTTTAGACATTGTGTTATACTGTATGTTTAGGTCACGAAGACATCTGAAACACATTTAACTAAACATAGTAAAGCAAATATAGCTTTTCTGTAAATATTTCTAAACTAAACAATTGTATTTAAAATGATAATTTATTATCAAATTAGTTTCATATTATCGCCCAATTTATAGCGACAAATACTAGACAAACAATTGATTGAAACCAACATAAATACATACATAATTTACAGTACTATTGCCAATAGTCTATTGGCAACAAATGCTAATTTAGCGCAACAATAGTTACTTTGTTAACAAATTCTGGTTTTAATCTCTAATCATTTATAACTTATTTTATAACAATTTATTAGTACACAATTGATATGATTTGTTCATAACATAAATGTTTCTAAAATATAATTTTTGATTTGACTTTATTGTACTTTAGATTTAAAGGAGAATACACACAATGAATACATAGCCAGTAATATACTCATGTCATATGTATTTGAATTGTTCACATCCTTATTATCCATATTCACGTGTGTGAGAGTCATATGGCCCGGGAGTCTGGCCTTCTGTGCCAAAGACTGGCCAATGCATCAAAAGCTGAAGAGAAAAATCATTGTCTCCACACAGATATACACCAATGGAGTGAAACAGGTATTTATTCCTCTATTGTTATTCATATAATAATCAAATGAATGGATAAATTGGAGCAAAAGTTAAGATAACATTGAATACAAAATAAAGGCTAATACAATGCAAATTTTTGTGTAATGGTAACTAAAATCAAAACTAATATTAACATTAATGTTGCAAATATAAAAAACTTTAGCCTAGATTAGTTAAAAACAACATAAAAACTAATTAACTTAACTTATTTATCTTACGCTTGATTTAATGGATAAAGTGATTGATAACCACTTTATAAGGTGACGATGGGGTGCATGAAAACAGACGAATATTTTAATTGCAATTCACTTTTACTTAATTTTTATTTGTTGGCAATTTTTTTCTAAAGTTAATTAAGTTATATATTTTAAAACAATGTTAAATTTATTACTTAATATATTTGATATTTAAATGAAATGTAATTTGTATTTATGTTAAATACAACAGAATGAGGACATGATTCGCAATTTGGGCCCCAATTGTATCATATCTTTAAGTCCGCCACCAAATGATGCCATAATAAGAAGTGATCACAACTACGGCAATGATAATCATTGCAACAATTGTACTGTTTGTGAGTTTTGTGCGCCAAATGCTGGCGATCATAACGTGAGGACTCATTGCTTGACTGATGAGGATATCGACGATGAATACGACAGTGAATTTGATGTCGAAAACTGTGGCAATAGTAGTGTCGACTACGAGAACTGCGAGTCCACTCAATTAGAGACACAAATTGATATAAACGATGAGATCAATGATGATAACGATAGACTAGAGGCCGATAACACATACGATACCATTGGAGCCAACGATACACCGAATGATATCGACAATAAAGATGTAAACGAGTCTCAGGACTCCGATAAGTGCTCAACAAAATCATCGCAAACTAACGATTCGCCAAAAAGTATTCATAGTTTAGAGATTAAATGCGAGGAAAGTTTGGCAGAAGTTTGAAGTTTTTTACAAATTTCTGTAAACATTTATACTATTGAAGAATTTGAGATAATGTATGAGTTTTTGTTAACAAATTCAAAGCAATTAATTAGTTTTAGTTTTATTTATTATTTAAACTGTTATTAAAATTTGAATAAATTTTATATTATAATTACTGTTACAATCATAATGTATATAAAATCTGATCGCAAATTGTATCCATAAAATATATTCAATAAATCACTGAATTTTTTCAATCAAGTAATAAATATGTGAATAATAAAAATTAAAACTCGATCGCAAATATAATTTCAATTGATTGATCAAATCAATTATTTTTTATGGCTTTTCGTGCTTTTGTTTGTCATTGGAAGTGGAGGTCTCGTCCAAGTCTTCGTCGTCCAAATCCAAGACATTGATGTCATACATGTCTGGTCTCATTGACATCCTTTGCTTCACTTTCTCAATATTTTCAAAATTTTACCGATAAAAGTGGTCACTGTGGCCAGAGCCGAGGTCAACTGACCATACAAAGTATATCATAAGAATTCCTATAGAGTGTACTTTCATTCTATCACAATAATTCCAAATTGCAAACGGTCCCGCAAATGCGCAAACTCCTTTCTGTAAACATTTATACTATTGAAGAATTTGAGATAATGTATGAGTTTTTGTTAACAAATTCAAAGCAATTGCAAGCAATTATCATTAGTTGCTAATTAGTATGATAATTAGTTTTAGTTTTATTTATTATTTAAACTGTTATTAAAATTTGAATAAATTTTATATTATAATTACTGTTACAATCATAATGTATATAAAATCTGATCGCAAATTGTATCCATAAAAATATATTCAATAAATCACTGAATTTTTTCAATCAAGTAATAAATATGTGAATAATAAAAATTAAAACTCGATCGCAAACATCATTTCAAATGATTAATCAAATCAATTATTTTGATGGCTTTTCGTGCTTTTGTTTGTCATTGGAAGTGGAGGTCTCGTCCAAGTCTTCGTCGTCCAAATCCAAGACATTGATGTCATACATGTCTGGTCTCATTGACATCCTTTGCTTCACTTTCTCAATCTCTTCCAATTTTTTTCGTCTGAAGAATCCGTACTAAAAATGGACATCAATTTCAATTGAGAGATAAAAACCTAATGTTTAACTTAATTTTGCACTTAAATTGTGAGAAATGTTGTGACACTCACTCTAATCAACACAATAACAGTTATAATCAAAATAAATACACCAAATCCTGCGCTTAAGAATAGTACCCACGGCTCGACTTTCTCGTCAATTATGGGCACATCTCTGGCCATATAAACGCTCATTGATGTGAATGATGTGATTTGGGTCTCAAATTTCACTTTGTCCTCCACTTTCAGCTCAGAATTGAGTTTGAAAACAATTTGGTTAAAATTCTTGTCCTTAATTCTCGATGGGATTAACGATAATGAAAGAGTGAATGGCTGTGAATAAGCGCCGGAATTGAATTTAGGCAAACGGCACAAATATTTTGAACAATAATCCGAGTTTTTGTCGCAATTCTGTTTGAATAGAAATTGTAATCATTACTTATATGTTACACATTTCAGACCAAATTGATTACCAAATTAAGAGTTTTATTGACAACTGAAAAACTATAAGATCTACTTCCAGACGACGCTCTCTCGCATATCGATTGTGAATCCTATGGAAAGCAATAAGAATTTCATATAAAATGATAAGACTTTTAGGCAATAAGTCATACGCTGTCGGGAACTATAATGTTGTGCGGAAGGCGTAACTCAATAAATGCCGAGTCTATAGAACTCGGACCAGATTTTACTAAACTATACGAAACGTGAAATGAAACTCTCGGCGTCTTATCTGAAAACGAAAAATTATTTGTCGCTTCACTGAAAGCGTAAAGAAATTATTACTTTAGTAAACGAAACATTAATTTAGTGCCAGAATCTCAATGTATACCTCATAATCATTAAACTCGCTTTCCTTATGATTTCAAAATTCATAGAATCGGTTAATTTACTGGTCTTTTCGATATCACTACTGCTCTCGACTTTGAAATCAATTTGAATATTATTTGTGGGAATTCTGGCGACAATGAAATGTAGATTCAAATTCTCTTTGCTATTCTTCTGGAGAATACGACTGACTTCGCACCGATAGGACGACGTGTTGGTCATTGGTTTACATCTGTCCGCTTCGGCACTGTTTGTCAAATCCAATAAAATTGGTGTCATTTTGATGTCGACGACTGTATTGAGTGAGGCTTCGCCGCTATTAATAACACTGATCTCAATGTCGATCGTGTCGTGAAGTCCTTCAATGAGATTCCTCTCAATCCGTTGACCGCTATATTTGGAAATCGCTGTCAGTCTTAGACGAGATAAACATTTGCCGGATTGACAGCCGTGTTCAAAGTCTATCTGTTTTATATGCAAATTAATACTACATTATAGATAATAACTCTTTTATTATATCATTGACTCACATAAGCAAATGTTGAATGACTTTTAGCAATACCACAGTCTTTGCAAAAAATATCTGATGACTCGTTTGGCAACTGAACAGACAGTTTCACTTCAATAGCTGTTATGATATCAATCAGAAATTCCGGTTCCTTTCAATCAAAAAGATTTGATAAAATATTTGACTTAAAACACCGATTGTTACTTACATTAAGCATTAAAGCGAAAGAGTTATCATTAGTGAAGCAATTTTGTTGATTGGCTTTCAATGTAATAGTTTTTTGTTGAAACCTATTATTGATCGACGACTGTATTGAGTGAGGCTTCGCCGCTATTAATAACACTGATCTCAATGTCGATCGTGTCGTGAAGTCCTTCAATGAGATTCCTCTCAATCCGTTGACCGCTATATTTGGAAATCGCTGTCAATCTTAGACGAGATAAACATTTGCCGGATTGACAGCCGTGTTCAAAGTCTATCTGTTTTATATGCAAATTAATACTATATTATACAGGGTGGGCGGAAAGTATGTCTTATTTTAAAAAGCTAATAACTCGTAAACTACATGAGATATTTTAATCAAATTTTTTGCAAAAAATACACAAAAGTATGGGATGATTGAATCAGGATTTAAAGATGTTGGCCATCCGTAGCGATCACGTGGCGGAGTCAAATTTTAAAATTGGCCATTTCATGTCATATTTTAGAGGTCGCAATTACGAGAAATGAAAACACGTTGAATATACATCACATACATTCACTTAAATAGTTGTGCAAATTTTATTTCATTTTTAATTAATATTTTACAAATAGTAGGGTTTTGAAAAACAAACTTGTCAAAAATGTCTTTTTTGAAAATTGCGCCATTTGTAAACTAATAGTTTAAAATAAAAACAAATGCGCAATTATTTGATTAAATGTATGGGATGCGTGCTCAACGTGTGTTAATTAATCCTAATTGCGACTTTTAAATTATGACATGATTACCGATGCGGTGGTCAATTTTGAAATTTGACTTCACCACGTGATCGCTACGGATGGCCAACATTTTTAAATCCTGATTCAATCATCCTATACTTTTGTGTATTTTTTTGCAAAAAATTTGATTAAAATATCTCATGTAGTTTACGAGTTATTAGCTTTTTAAAATAAGACATACTTTCCGCCCACCCTGTAGATAATAACTCTTTTATTATATCATTGGCTCACATAAGCAAATGTTGAATAACTTTTAGCGATACCACAGTCTTTGCAAAAAATATCTGATGACTCGTTTGGCAACTGAACAGACAGTTTCACTTCAATAGCTGTTATGATATCAATCAGAAATTCCGGTTCCTTTCAATCAAAAAGATTTGGTAAAATATTTGACTTAAAACACCGATTGTTACTTACATTAAGCATTAAAGCGAAAGAGTTATCATTAGTGAAGCAATTTTGTTGATTGGCTTTCAATGTAATAGTTTTTTGTTGAAACCTATTATTGCTATTTATTATCTTCACTCTATTCTCTCTGACCCTTAGCTTACTATCCGTTATCTCTATTGTAATCGATGCCAATTGATTGTCGCGAATGTGTTTTCCCTCGTATTTAACGCAATACTCGACTTTAAAACACGAATTCTGATTATTATTACACTTCTTGTCATGTAATCGGATTTTATTTGGTTTAAATATAATATTAGTTATATTGAGTGTTGCAATCGGTTGGGTTCTGATGGGAAAGACACATGTCGTGTAAATACATAGGAATTTATGTAAATTATATTTTTAATTAATTAAAACCTGAGAAGTATTGCGTTTTCAGATAAATAAGAGCCGATAAGTATATCGTTATATCCGTTGCCATCAAAGTCTACATTACTTGTTATACTTATTCCGAAACCATTCAAAACAACATTTTTCATACTCTCGGCGCCTATTCTCTGAAATTACAGCAAATTTAAGTATAAATAAAGTGATTGAAAGTAGATTTACCCGGAATTTAAGATTTAATCCCAATTCTGAACCCATATAGATATAGACCGCACCCATAGATCCATCACTGTTGCTCTCATATGGGGCGCCAATAATGGCATCTTTTATATAATAAAAAATTATGGTAAAAATAAATCAAATTAAAAATTGACAAATAGAAGAAACCTCTATAGCCGTCGAGATTGATATCACTTGAAGCCATTGCGCTACCAAAACGACCACCACTTTTATGACCAGAAATTAATTCTTCTTTTATGAATTCTGTTCCCTATATTTCATTATAATAAACATAAAAACCTTATTAATTAATATGTAATAAAAATTTTATAGAAACAAATAATGAAAACCTTATCATTCATTAAAAATACATAAATCCTTCCGATATCTCGATCTCTATTAGTGGAATAAAGAGGAGCTCCGACTATAAGATCATCAAATTTATCGTTATTTATATCGAGTGCCAAAAGAGATGCCCCGAAATATTCGCCTTTTGCTTCTGGTTTGCCGTTCACTTCAATCAAATACCCCTGAAATCTGTTTCGTTTCCTTTCGGAAAAATCACTCAAAGGATGTATTAAAACCTGTGTTCAAAATCAATGTTAATTACATTATTTCGTTAATAATATCGATTTGATGCTCACGAAGACCTTTCCATCAAAATGTCGATGTCTTGGAGCGCCAATCACTACATACTCGAGGTTTGCATCGAAAAAGCCAGTGGTTATCGCATAACCCAAATAACTATTGAATGTCGGGAGTCGGGAATCGACCACTTCGAGCAACTTTTCCAACTCTAACTGTTCCTCTCGATTGTCAGTCCACTGTCTTATAACAGATCCCGAAAAGTCTCGATATCCCGGAGCGCCCAATAAGATGTTTTCATCCTTCTATCATATGTTAGTAATAATTAATTAATATAACTGTAATTTCCAGCAAACCTCAAGTGCTTGAACGCCAACCGCCGAGAATCCCATCATTAAGTGACTATTCAATGGTCTTCCGAGTTGTGTATATCTATTGTTCGCACCCTTTGGACCAAAATTATC